CCCCCTCCCCGCCGCGACCCCCGAGACGCGCCTGGCAGCCCCCCAGCCCCAAGCGGGACCCCGCCCCGCGGCCCCGCCTGCTGCTCAGAGGGAGCCGATTCTCCCCGCAGCCCGTGGCCGTGGGGACTCACCGCTCCGCGCCGGGGGAGGGAAGAGGGGCCTGCGCCTGCCCCGGGCTAGGGCTCGGGACCCTGCAGAGCTCCTCGCCCCACCGCGGGATCGCGGCCCCCGGCCCGCGCCGGCTCCAGCTGGGACCGGGGCGCTGCCTGTTGTCAGTCTGGTTGCAATGGGAAACGATTGTGACGTAACAATAGCGGTGGTGGGAGCAGTGCAAGTCATTTCAACCCTAGCAGGAATAATAAATACTATTAATAATAAATACATGATTAGCAGTAGGATTAGTTATCAATAATTATAATAGTAGTAGGAATGGTAATGATAATCAGGGATCCCAGTTTTCTCTGATATAAAAAAATCTGCAATTTTCAGGTTTAAAAAAAGTAACCCCAAATCCACATTTTCCCATGATCAAAATCAAACACCACTATATATCTAGGTATCTCGGTACTAATATATATTAGAGAGAGAGAGAGAGAGAGAATAGATATCTCTAGATATGGGGGGGGGGGGGGTGTGTACGAGAGCAGTAGCTATGGGTTAGTGGTGTTTCATTTTAATCATGGAAAAATGTGGATTTTGGGTTACTTGGTTTAACCCCAAAATTGGGGATTTTTTTGATCACAGAAAACCAGGATCCCTGGTGATGATAATTGTAACAAAAATAGTAGTAATAATGATAACAGTAATAGTGGTAAGAATAGTAGTGATAATCATTGTAATAAATAGAGCCATAGTAATAAGTAATAGTGGTAAATGTAATGCTACTAAGGAATAATGTCAACAATAACATTATTATTGCTGTTGTCCTTTTAGATTTCTGTCCCAGTCTATCTCAAAAGGCTCAGAGCAGCTTATAGGACATGGCCAACAGCAGCAGTGGATACCCCAAGGCTACAAAACTCCACCCCACCCTTGTCACCCTTAAGAGCAAGCCCACTGGGCAAATTTCTGCCCCCGCTTTCCATTCACATTTAAGTGTATGGGCTCTGTGCTGTCACCTGAACAGTTTCTGCCCTCTCTTGTGTTTAATACTTGCTTGCTGCATCTTGTTATAAATGGCCTCTGGAATTTGCAGCTGTGAAATGGAGGGACCCAGGTCTCCAAAATGCCAGCCCAGAGTACTCCTGTTTTTTTTCCCCTTTCCTCCCTTCCCCCTCTCCTGCCTGCCACCCACCTCTCCTTACCGAAGAATTTGCAGCATACTTGGCCTGTGTGCTATGCTGGCTTCAGTTGGTGCTCAAGCTGCCTTTCACGAGGGTGTTCTGCCTTGTGCATTTTTATTAATCCTCATCTCATTGATTGCTTTTCCTCTAACCCATTTTTTTCCTCCCTGCACATATTTGTCTCAAAACGTAAAGGCAATTAGCTGATCAAACCTGGCACCCTGGCAGAGAATCGATGCTTTAAATGGAAGGAAGGATGCAGGACTTTGAAACTCAAGTTGGCCAGGCCTGCGGAGGAGCTTGGTTGTTACATAATATGGAATGGGCAGTGCCCAAAGATGGGGTTCGGGGAGAGGCTGTACTGTGCTAGTCTGTATAGAGAGGCAGTACTCCCAGTCAGAGAAAGCAAGACATGGGAAGACAGGGTGGAAGGCATGCAACATACTCGTAAAGTGACTGGAGACATGGCAGGCACGTGGCTTAAGTCTGGTGCTGTCCTAGGATACAGGGGTGCTGTGACAGAGCGGTTAAGGTGCCTTGATATGGCTCCAGAGGTGGGAGCTTGCACCCAGCTGCAAGTGAGTACCTAGTCACTCTTGCAGTCACTTGGGCTGGACAGTGGCTGAATATGATGCTGCCACATCACTTGCCGCTGCATTTCATTTCAACCATGTTAAACCAGTAGGCTGCCTGGCTTAGGGAGATACTTCATCATGATGCTCCCTCTCCGTCAATGTACAGCTTCTGAGATGCTCTTCTGCTTTCATTCCCCTTCACTAGCACGCAAAGTAATCTCTCCTCAACTGCCCTTTACCCATAGTTTTTCCTTAATTTTTATTGGCTATTTTTGACTATTCACAGTTGCCCTTTCACATGGCTCACCTAAGCAGTTTTCTCCTCTCACATCTGGTAGCGCTTGTGACCCCAGTTTATCAAAGCACTGAACATTTATTTCATTGCGGTCCCCTCCCCAGCATTGATACATGACTTTGTGGGGAGGTAGAGGGTCAGGAATCCTGCAATATCAAGTTTTACAGCCTCCGAACTGGGAGTAGTGACTATATAAAACTGAGCTTTCAGGTTAAAAATAAAAATTTCTATAGCTTCCAGCCCTTTATAGTTATGCAGAGAAGTTTGAGAAGATGACCTCAGCAGGCTAACAAAATGCCACTAAATTCAATCTTTCTTTCTTTTCTGAAATTCATGGTTTTGGAAGGCCCAACTCATGGTTTTTTAATAGTGATAATTTCAGTTGCTGAATTGATGGCTGCCCTATATAAATAGTTTGCTTATTTCTTTCCTAACTAGGGCATGGCTTCACTGACTGGTTCAGAAAGATGTGCCATGCCAGATATGGACAATCACTTTGACCTCAGTGTCATCACAAGGTCACAAGCTATCTCACAGCAAATAAACCTTCTGTAATGCTTTCTGTACTATCTTCCACTGCTGAGAACAAGCCCTTTTCCCCCTCATTTTACAGATCGTGGCTGGAGTCAAGTATATCCTAGAAGTTGAGCTTGGCCGGACCACCTGCACAAAGTCAGCAACTGATCTTCAGAGCTGTGCATTCCATAAAGAACCAGAGATGGCAAAGGTATGTTTATAAAAAAGATTGGGAGCTGCCCAGGTCTTTATGAAGCTGTACACTAAAAATACTGTCTGGGACATTGTTCACATCTTGTATAATAGAATTAACCCCATGTTGGAATAAAACCCCTGTGTAGATTTCTGCATTTTTCTGCTGCTTATTAGCATTTGCTTTTGGAAATTAGTTGCTTACTAGCATCCAAATAGTAAATCATAATTGTATGTGTGAGTTTTTGCTCCAGCTAGCTGTTGGAATTAATGAGTAAAAATACAAAGTGCAGAAAACATGCAGATTTTTTTTTGATGGGATTCTGCATGGGTTTATTTTTTACTTGGCTCTTGCAGCTTTGTTGCGTCTTGTTAGAATCTACAGTAGTCTGTCTGATGTGATTTATTTACTTATTATTTTTATTTATTTTTATAAATGTTGGACACTGGTGGTGGTGGTGTTTATTATCATCAGTATGCCACACATGGGAATAAAAGGCCCTATTCTAATAGGCCTGTCTCTATTGGGCAGGACACACCAAGGGTGGGGGAAGAAGGAAGTGCTATTCTCTGTCATTGTATGATGGAGAACTGAGGAACAGACAGCCCACACCCACTGATTTCAGTGGGAATTGAGTGCTTAAATAGGTCTTTGGAGATCAGGACTTCATGCTAAGTGACTTGCCTGAGGGCATACAGGGGGTCTGTGGCGGAGCCAAAATCTTAACATCAGATGCTCTGGGTCTCTGTTCTGTACCCAGACCCCAAAGTCCTTTTCTGGTCAGTTCAGTTTGTTCAATGGCACTTTTAATAAATTTGATCAATAAACCATTGCCATTGACCATTTCGTAAAGAAGGAGTGGAGAATTGACAGCGGAGAGCAGGTGTTTTCACAGAAGCCCCAGTTCCTAGCACAGGCACAATCAAATTCAGTGGGGAGCTTTGCCTGATTCTAGATTGATTTCTGAATGGCTCAGCTGGCTTTTGGAACTCAACCACCAAGCACATGCGCCCCTAGTTGAATTGGAATCCAGCTTCCTTTTAATAGGACAACACCCTCAGTTTTAATAGCTTGCTTTATGCTGAAGGGGCTGGAATATCAGATGGGCCTGGGTGCACACCTGTATTTGTGAATGCTCAAAGTAGCTATAACTCTATATGCAAATGACTACTGTATTTCCCTGAATCCAAGATGTCTGCAAATTGAAGATGACCTCCCAATAATTATGGTCTATACACAGAAAATTTTTTAAATGTGTTATAATTTTCCATATATAGAATCTTCTTATTAGGGGATTGTCTTTTAAATTTGTCCCTCCCACTAGTGGTGGGGAAAGCACAGGTTGGGAGGCAGGTGACCTGATTTTCCTGGTCCCTGCTGCTACCCTGTGCCTGCCCCTCTGCTGCGTATTTTGGCCCTCTCTTTCGCCCAACTATCCCAGTACCTTCTCCATCCCATTTTCGTAAACTCATGTTTCTCCCTCCCTTCTAACCAGGGAAAAGCTGGGGGTGCAATGCCTGTCTTTGAATATGATGGTAATAGTTGGCAGCTAAGTCCTGTGGAAGTCTATATTAACAAAAGAAAAATGTTATCCCACAATATTTTTCTTGCAAACTGGAAATGCTCTGAAGAGCCATATTCTTCACTTCTGTAATATTTGCTGGTGATAAACAGAAAGTGATAGACAGTGCATGTAGTTTTAAAACATTCAGTGATTCTGACTCTCTATTTTAAACTGACTGCTTTTATTTTCTCTTTTTCTCTACTCAGCGCGTCACTTGCAACTTCGAAGTGTTATCTGTTCCTTGGCTAAACCAAATTACCTTACTGAAAAATAACTGCCAATAAGCATCAGCTTGTTCCAGGAGACATCAGCAACTGGTTGTTGGTTTGGGGTGTTGTTTCTTTTTTTTTTTTCTTCTTCAGCAAAAGAGCAATAATATGAATTCCCTCTTGTGATGGACTTGCATACATTACTATAAACTCAGATACTTATAAAAGTATGCTTGTACTATGCAAGTAAAAATATATAGCTTTCCTTTTGAAGCACAATATAGTCTGAATGTAATTTTTCCCTGTAATTACATTTTTGGAACAGCTATTTTCATGCTTCTTTTCCCTGCCAAATAAAACAGTAGTCTTAATCCACAGCAGCAGAGATTTTTCATGTTTGTCCTTGTTTAATGGTGACTGCTCTAAGAATTAAAAATTGTAATTCCTCAGTGATGCAGTGGGAAGTCACTTTGTGTGTGTGTGTGTGTGTGTGTGTGCGCGCACACGCTATAAACTTATGGAAAAATATATTGTTAACAGAACGGAGGATCTGCTGGCATAGCCTGGACTAGGGGTGGACAATTATTTTGGCTGGAGGGCCACTTAATGAGTTTGTCTTCTTGTGGACCACATCTCTCCTCTCTTCTCACTCCCTCCCCCAACTATCCCCGCAGGTACAGCATACCCCAATCCACAACCTTCTGTCCCCATCCACTTCTTACACCAGCTCAGGTGCCAGGTGGGCACAGGCATCAGCTGTGGACACTCCCAGCTGTGGATGCTGCTGGCAAGTGGGGATTAGGGTGACTGCTCAGGACCACGGCTGATGCGCTGATGTAGTGATGTCAACTGGAGACCTGGGTCGATGCTCTAATCCCCACCCAGAACCTCTGCTGGCCTTGTTTGCAAGCTGATGCTGGTGCCTGGGACATGTCTGTCACAACCCAGCAGCCGGAACCCATTGACTCCCCAGGGGCTGGATCCCATTAGTTTGTGGCTGCCTGCTTGTGGGCTGGATACAATCGCAGGCTGTATTTTGCCCACCTCTGGCCTAGACAGTTTCCTTGTGTGGCATGTTACTGACCAAAGCACTTGTGTTATTTGGTATGAGCAGAGCCACTTGTATGATGGGGTTTTGTAATGAAGTCATGTGTGACCCATTCACCCATAGCTCAGACCGGACTGGTGCTTGGCGATACATGAATTGTCAGCACCTCTTTCCAGCTGCTTCCTTGTCTCTCAGAATGTCTGCTTTGGGGACAAGTAATGCATCAGCTGTCTTGTGACCCCCTCCACAAGTGTGCAACCCAGGCAGCCATGACTGCGTCTGAATTTATGGAGAACCTGGAGCAATGGCTCTTGTGAACTTCCCCATTTCTCTGGAAGCAGCTAGGCTCCTGGGTATTTTTCAGTCCAGTTCTGGTTGTGCAGTGCAGCTCAGAATCTGTCATATTCTAGATCTCTAACGTTGATGCAGTTTATGGGTAGGACTTGATTATGTAGGTGGATTTCCTTTTAAAAGTGTCCCCATTCCTTGCCTTCCCCATCAGTTCAGCCCCTATGTGCATCAGAGTGCATTACAAACTCCCTAGGATCTGACCTGGAGGTCAGAACCTGGATCTGACCTCCACAGGATCATATCCTATGAAGTCATTTGGTACTTTCCAGTCTGCACTATGATACCATCCTTCCTGGCAGCTTTGTGTCTCAGTGTTGCTAATGTTATAGATGGGGAAGGAACAATGGATTTGAGAGATCATTATTAAACTTATGTATAATACAAATTGGGGAGTGGGGGGCTTTATCAAAGCACAAAGACCCATTTTTCCAGCAAGCAGAATGATACACAAACCTTGGCTTCCAAGCCTCTCGACATATGTACAGGACCAGGTGAGTGGAGTGAGGTTAATGATATTGATCTATTACTTGATAGAGATGATATGGTTCATGGTACTGAACAGGTGAGGTGTTAATAAATATTTCTCTTCTATAGGGTGGGACAGGACAATGTATGCCACTAAAGTACTTTCCAGCCATTACTAATTTAAAAAGTATATTCACGTATCCTAAAAGTTTACTGTGGTTCCATCCGCCCTGGCATGTCAATTCAGACCCAGTCTTTTCAGGCTTGGAGGAATTTCCTCCCCACTGGAGCAGAATAAAAAGGCAGTGATGTAACCAAGTGGGGCAGGGCTCTGCAAAGGGGAGAAGCAACAGTGGGTGACAAAGGGTTTGGGGCACCTATCAAAACATTTTCCTTCTTTTCCTATGGCAGGGTCTGCACCTGTCAAAGTAGACCCCTGGCACTGTGATCCTCAGCCTGACATAAAATGAAGAAAGGTGGGAGAAGTCTGTTGCTCAGAATGGCATGGTTCAAAGTGCATTGAAGTCCATGGAGATTAAAAGATTCCAGTGGTTTTGAGGTCAGGCCTCTGCTGAGAAAGCTGCTCTTGCAGTGGCATTTGCTAGTGGTCATGCTGGAACCCAAATCAGACTAGATGCCAGTGGTGCTGTCCTTTGAACTGGGTCTAGAGTAGCCCTTGATTCATGCTCAGGAGGCTTTCTTATACATACAAACTACTTGCAAATAGGTAGCCCAGGAACTGCCAGGAGTCCATGTTGATGGGCCAGCTGGTGTATGTAGGTCAGCCTGGCTGCTCCTGACTTTGCTGTTTGATTGTCTGAAAAGGGCGGCAGGTTTGCTGCTTAGGTACACCTCTGGTGACTCACCACAGGCTGCGTGAGTCTCATTCTCCTGAGTACGCCTATCACCTTACATCTGTACCCACACCTTCCCTCTAGATCCACTGGTTTTGTCAATAGCCATAACTGTTGGACTGCACTGTCCACAACTGTTATATGACTGGTATAGCTGGTGCCCTGGCCCTAGCCCAGACAGGAGCAATGAGAATAGGTGGCCACCAGGATCCATTGATGGATCACGGTCTGAGAGCCACCAGCCAGGAAGGGAGTGGGCTGGGGCTGTGGTAGCAGCCGGCAAAGGTGCCAGGATGTGATGGTTACACATGGAGCTCTGGACATCCAGACAGCATCCCTTTCAGGGCACACTGGAGTGAATAGATATGCAAATGAGAACATGATGCCATCTTTTAACTAGCAGGTGCCAGCAAAAAGACTGTTCCTCCCCCAAGGATGAGAACCAGATGGGATTTCAATATGTGCAACATTGTGGAGGGATTGGATGGTTTTTGGGTCAGTCTTCCTTCAGAAGAGCCAGCCAGGCCCCTATAATGGAAGGAGCTAATCTTGTTTTATGACATGTTGGTCTTTGGGTACAAGAAGAGCAGGTGTACAAGCTCACCTGCTCAGAATGAGACATTCTTGCCCTTTTTTTACCTGCCCTTCAAGACTAGGAGGGACCCACTACAGGCAAGAAGTTGTCACTTCAGAAAAATACAAGCCCTGAAATAAAACACGTAGTGTCCTTTCTGATAGCACATACATGCACACCACCTCCTGGTAACATCTGAATATATCCCACTCTTCTCTCAGACCTGCCTAACATACACCAAAATGAAAAAAAGAACTTCCCGTGGAGAAAAAAGAGAGTGCAGAACAGTCCAACAACAGAACGTGGATTGCTGTGGCCACCCCTGCAAAGCAAAACTCTTGCTGTAGCACTGCTTGGACTTAGATGTAAGGAAAATATTGTGAGCAGAGAGTTTATTTACTGAAAAACAGTATTGGGCCAGTTGACACTATTTGTGATATCAGGTTGAATTCAGCAAAATTTGGCCACAGAAAATGGGAGTGGGGGATTCAGAGAAGGTATAATGTTTTTGTTTCACCATTTTCAAACTGAAGCCCTTGAACTTTTTATTTTAAAGGAACATTTTGTTTAAAAAATACTTAAATTCAATTTTTTTAAAGTAAAAAACAAACAGGAAATAAAACAAAATGAATTGTTCAACCTGACACATTTTTGCTGGTGTTTCAGCAAGTAAAAAATAAAATATTTTTTTAACAGATATTTTCATGTCCGTTCTATTTTAAATGATCATTTTTTAAAATGCCTTGGCTGACATTGACATTGATCCATTCTTTGCATCTCTGTCACTGAAAGAGAGAAAACGTACTCATTCATTGCTCGCCAGGGACCTGGAAGGTGTCAGAAAAGTGACAGCCCCACAACAGACACCTCATACAAATCCACACACAGTGATGAGCATAAAAACGACACAATGCTGATACCCTCTTACTCCTTTTTCACCTCTGACCTCTACCAAGACACCACCAAACCAAATGGAAACAGTGTTTTGTCTCTGGAAAAGGAAACCAGGGATCTATGAAGTCTGCTAGGGGCTTGATTGCTCCTACTTGTTTTACATGGAAGTTGCCCAGATATAATTATGGTGATAATTCACCCTATAGAGCCTCACAGTTGATAGTGTCACATGCAGGTGCAAACAATGATGCCACTTACTGTGTACACAGTATAACACCATGCATCCCAGGTATCCTTTGTCACCATGGTCAGGTCTACAATCATTAAAGGGGGGTGCAGATCATGAGGTGCATAGTCACTTATAAAAACAACACATTTTTTCTAGTTAAATGTAAACTAGAAGTTTTACTAATATGCTAGGGGCTTAGGATTGCATTATTCAGTTTAATATCGAAGCAAAAACAAATGTAACTTCATAGAATCATAGAAAATTAGGGTTAGAAGGCACTTCAGGTAGTCATCTAGTGCAACCCCATGTTCAAATCAGGACCATTCCCAACTAGATCATCCCAGCCACGGCTTTGTCTACCTGGGTCTTAAAAAACCTCACTGTAACCCTGTAGCAGGAGGGTTGGTGCTGCTGCTACTTTAACAGAAGGCAGACTGCAGATGGAGCAGTCTGCAGGTGCTTCATCAGGAGTCATGTGACTTAACAGGAGGCTGGGTTTACAGGATATAAGCCCAGGGCCTGAGTTGGGGCAGTAGTGTGATCCTGGCAGTCAAAATGTGAAGAACTCCTGAACAGCAGGGCTGCAGCCAGACTCCTGGCAAACACCTAAGCTGGGGTAAGCAGGCTGGTGGTCTAGGATTTGAGATAAGTTGTGGTAGTGGTCACAGCTGGCTCAGGAGGAGGGCCAGGATCCAAATGATAGAGGTCAAGGCTAAAGAGCAGGACCACAGCTGAATGGTTATAAGAGCAAGGAGGGTCAGGGAACTGTAACCCACAAGGGATGAGAGGCAGAGTCAGGGACTTATAGCCCAGGAGGGGAGAGCAGGGGCAGGGAGCCTGGAGTTCTCAGCCTGCATAGGAGTGGGGCCAGGACCCAGGAGGGGCAAAGGCCAAGGAGGGGCCACAGCCAGAGACTGCTGGGGAGAGGGATCCTGGAGATCTCAACTGGCCTAGGAGTGGGGCCATGGCCTGAGAAGAAGGGTCAAAGGCTGAGGAGCACAACGAATGGAAACCAACAGGGCCATGAACTTACA